GTATGGGCAGGATGCAGCCCATGTTAGTAATGTATTTAGCTTGTTTATATTTAGCTTGTATTGCAGAGCGTTTATCCTTGGTCATATTTTTCTTCATAGTAAAACTACACTAAGAACAGGGAACCTTTAGTTAATTAAGGTGTTAATGGATGGCTATTAAGTTCTTGATTGTTTCCTTGTGTCACTGTGCCCTCTGCTTCAAAGTATCTGATAGGCTGGTGGTAAATCAGTACCTTTATTAACTAAGGACTCATTTCCCAGGCTTCAGTAATTTATTTTTGTCCCTGATCGGAACAACTAATGTAGTCTGTGTTGATTGCTTCACTTGTTGCATATATTTTCTTTAAGCAGAGTGTGTACCTTTACAGAAATTTAAGCAGTGATTTTTTTTACATGCAAATGTGATGCATTCTGTGTATGGTTATAACTACTACTATTCTCCACCATGTGGCCAAATTGGAGGTTATCAGTCTTGCAAATACATTTTTGCATTGTTAATGGACAGACAATTTATATTTTAAAATTCCAATACAAATTTTTAGCTGTTGTGTGTGAAGAGAGTACTTCTGGAATTTTGAGAGCTATCAGTGATGTTTGTTTACAAAATAATGACTGTGTTGAGTGTATGAAAACATTTCCCATAAAGGAAACTGTTAATATGACATTTTTCTACCACTAACCCCTCTGCCAACTTTGCCTTTTTTCTTGCTCAATTATAATCACTTATAAATGCATTTTTTCTAAGAATACCTATGTAACTAAGAATATTTATGAAGAGATAGAAGCTGGCTTTTTATTTGAAATTCAGCTTTTAAAAAATTATTACTTTAGGAAAAAAAGAGTTGCCAAGTGCAGAGAATAGTGTCCATAGGCGTACTGGTACCCATAGATCTCAAACTGCTTAGAGTACACAAAAGAAATTGACGGTCTGAAGTCTCCAGAGCTGTTCTGTATGATTATTATATGAAAGATGAATGTTGCCAGCCAAGCCTCAGTTCTGTTAAAAAGAAGAGCTTCAGAATTCACATTTGATTTTTCTCAAATCTTTGGCAGTCAATGTAAACCTTTTTTTCCTTAACATGTTTCTTGCAACCCTGTTGACTGTTTGCAACAAAACATTTGATGGTTCTGTGATCACGTCCCAATATCTTAGCAATTTCAAGAGTATTGCAGTAGTGGGATTTTACTATCGGTTCTGTGGGCGTGGCTTGGTGGGCATGACAGGGGAAGGATACTGTAAAATTTCCATTCTCTCCCCACTCTTGGGGGAAGGTTACTGCAAAATCTCATTCCCTCCCCACCCCACTAACCTGCTTTCCTAGCTCCATTCTCCTGTGGCAGGCAACAAAAGAAGACCCAGCCGATCAGCTGGGACTTTGGAGGCAGTGAATATATGGGGACGGGGCCAGTCAAAGGTGATATTTACCAGTTCTCTGAACTACTCAAAATTTCCGCTACAGTGTCTCCAGAACTGGTCAGAACTTGCTGAATACCACCTCTGGCTGCATCTCTCTGAAAGATTTTTTACAATTTTTGACTTCAGAGTCAGTGAAATCTGAAAGAAACTGCCTAATAATTATGCACACCTTGACATAGGGTTCTGATCTCACCTCACCTGATACACTGATATCCACTAAACATTCAACTTTATACAGCTTGGAGGTGGAAAATATGCATAAAAATGATATGGTCAAAATACTCTTTTGCCTAATAATTGTGCACACAGTGTATTTGTATCAGAATATCTATTGCATAGACTTTTCCAGTTTCTGAACTCTGTAGAGAAATTATAAAATACTTTGTACTTTTAAATACTTTAAATTAAAAGGCTTTGTACAATCCAGGGGGTTATCAAATTAATTTCTGTATTATATTTCTTCCAGTAGTACTAGTTTCTTTGTCCAGAATAATTGTATTGACCTTCCAAAGCTAGTAGTCACAGATTCCATCAATAAAATGGAACGCAGAGCAAAAAAAACAGAAATGCAAGTAGAATGCTTTGTAAAATACCCACCATAAGAATAAGATTGTGACTATGGTTAGGACCACAGATTGTGGTCAATTTTCTAATGCCAAACATTCAATTTCCTACTTTATCCTTTATTTTACAGGAGATCTGCAGAAATTGCATCTCACTAATATACAGTAATAAGTCTCAATTTCAGTGGTTAAAATATATAAAATATAAAAGATATATAACTCTGATTACAGCAACTAACAAGTATAGGTCCGAACAATTTCTGTCTTGAAATTTTTTGCACTATAGGTTTCAGGTTTCTTCAATTTTGACAGCTGAGTCTATACCTACTACAAAAGAATAACTTTCTAGCTGTTCTACCACAGAGATCTAGCAGTGTCCAGCTGAATAACCTTCTGAAATTGGTATTGCCAGATTTTTTCCTTCACTGGTATCCACTGGTAGAGGATAGTTAGCATGGATTTTGTGAGAAAGAGAACCATCTTAATTAAGTTTTCCTCCATTAAAGACACTAAAGAAAATATATAATGGACATTAAGGAAAGAGTGGCAAGGATAGTGCTAACACCCAGCAATTGAAATTTCCATTCCATAAACATAATTTCTTTTGTTTCAGAAGTATCTCGTCCCAGGTTATTATTTTTATGCTCCATATTATTTTCCTGTTCTTCTCTTAATCTGGAGTTGTGAAGCCTGAAACAGTTTGCTGAATTCAGAATTTGTGTCAGAAGCATTAACACACACATTAATAGGTTTTTGAAATTTATTTTCCTCACTTTCTGTAAGCTGCTGTTTATAGAATGTTCCTGGTTCATGCTTTCTCCCATGCTGTGACACTAGCCATTATAATCACTGTGATGGCTGAAGAAAAGACTTGTGACCTTCTTGGGGAACGGGAACAAGAATCTTCAAAAGAAGTAGCATTGATGAACAGACTGAAGCCACTTTTCAATCAAAGGTATAGTGTCAATAGATTTCAGATCAAACAAACAACACTAGGGAATGTTGCACTCATTTGAATGACAGAAGTAGAAAGCATTGTAGTGAGACAAGAAAACTTGCTGAATATCAGAGCTAATTAATGGATCGATATAAGATTAGTACTTGCTCATAATTTCAACTTTGCTCAAAGTTCAACTTTGAGAAAAATTGCTTTTAGAAATTTGTAACCTCTCCATACCCAAGATTCTGGTTTTCATGAGGCTATTGGACATAAAGGTTATCCTGTCTTTATGTAATGCTCCTTAGGTGTTATATCTTCACATCATGCTAATTTTAATCCTTTCTGAATGCTTCCACACTTCCCAGATACCAAATCTGAAAAAATATTTAAAGAAAATTTGTACAAGTAACATATTTTCTATTTTAATATACAGTGCATTCAGAAGATATCCAGATTCCCTTTTGTAATTTTGTTATGTTGCAACCTACAGTTGTTCAAATTCATTTTTTTTCTCATTAAACTACACTCGGAGCCCCATAATGATAAAGTGAAAACAGAATTTTAGAAATGTCTGCAAATTTATTAAAAAGAAAAAACTGAAATATCACATTGGCATAAGTATTCAGACCCTTCATTCAGTACTTTGTTGAAGTACCTTTGACAGCAACTACAGCCTCAAGTCTTTTTGGGTATGATGCGACAAGCATTGCACACCTCAATTGAGGGATTTTCTGCCACCTTTCTTGCAAATCCTTTCAAGCTCAGGTTGGATGGCAACTGTGGTGGACAGGGCCACTCTAGGACATTCACAAAGTTGTAGCTAAGCCACTCCTGTGTGATCTTGGCTATGTGCTTAGGATTGTTGTCATGTTGGAAAGTGAACCTTCTGCCCAGTCTGAGGGCCTGAGTGTTGTGGACCAGATTTACATTGAGCCTGTAGCCTGTACTTGGCTACATTCAGCTTTTCCTCAACCCAGTTTCAGGCATTCTAGCTGGCTGCTTCACCTCCTTCGTTTTGGGTGGGCCTGGTGCTTCGGGCAGCAATGGTAACAGCCTAATGGACCTGCACAAGCTGCTGGTGGCCTCGGTGCTAGAAGCAGCTCATAGTGGTGCCGAGATACATCGGGTATGCCAATGGTAAGACCCATGAGTGGGCCGAGGAGATGACCAGCGGTGACCTGCTTTCCAACCGCAAGCAAAAACAGACCGGACAGACGGGCAGCAGTCTCATCCTCTGCATCACCTTGTCTCGGCCCATGGCGGTGGCAGTAGCTGGAGGCAGAGATGTAGGGGGGAGGCATATGGTCCAGCCTGCTGGATGTGCTGGGCAGCTGCCTACACCCTCCCAGCCATGTGGAATGGAACAGACTCTTCTGCTGGTCCGCATCACATGCCTTCCCCCCCCCCCTAATGCTGCCTGGTGCCACTGCCATTCCTGCTTCTTGGAGGGACAGCCAGGTGGTTGCAGCAGGTTGTGAGCCCTTGCTGCCAGACACCTCCTTCGTGCACGCACATACACAAACGTGTGCGGGTCTGGGAGAAGTGAGCACAGAGCCACACAGAGGCAACGATGGGGGAAAGATTGAAATGGGAAGCCTCTGTCCAGAGCTTCTGGCAGGTTAGAAAAACTGCAGAGCAGCAGCTTCCCTTTTTGTCTACCCTCTCCTCTGTTGCCTCCGCACCTGGACAGACTCTATGCCCCATACTGAGAGGGCAGTTTTGCTTCTGCACCCCTCCCCTGCAATGCCAGCAGCTGCACACCACCGCTGCTCACCTGCCGTTTTCCCCGTTCATCCCCTGCAATAGTCCATCACATGCCGGCAGGCAGAAGCCCCATGGCCTAAAGGTCCCATTCTGCCTCCTTCCCATCTCCTTCCTCCATGCTCAGGAAGGAATGAGTGGAGGAGGAGAGATTGGCAGCGTGGCATTCCCATGCAGTGGCGGGCGGTACCAGTGAAAGCCTGGTGAGTGGGGCATGGAGGCACAGCGCTGATCTGCAACCTGGTAGCGGCCATCCAGGCTGGACCGTGGCCAGCCTTAAATCTGTCCCACAGCCCCACCTCCTGGATGTGCACACAGGAGGTGGTGAGCACGTGAGGGCTGGCGTCTTGGGTGAAAGGAACGCGTTCAGAACGCAGTCCCCAGGGACAACAGGCCCCACCTGCTTGCCACCTCCTGTGTGCACATTCGGGGGTGAGGTCAAGGCATCACTGTGGATCTAAGGCTGACTGCGGTCCAGCCCGGATGGCTGCCACCAGGATGTAGATCAGCATCCAGTCAGCCTCGGCCAGGCCAAGGCACCATGGGCAGGTTCTTTGCAGTTTCCAGGGCAGTGCCATGGGCCAGATCTAACCACCTTGCAGGCCAGATATGGCCCATAGACCTTGACTTTGACAGCCCTAGCCTAGCAACTCTGCCATAAAGCACAGATGGGAGGAAGGCTGCAGTAATGGTTGTCCTTCTGGAACTCTGACCCATTTCCACACAGGATCTCTCAGGGTGGATTTGATTTAAATCAAGTCAATTTAAATCATGATTTAAATCAAGTCAATTTAAATCATGATTTAAATCACTAGTAAAAAGGCTTGATTTAAATCAACTTGATTTAAATAATAATTTTGAAAGAGCAGCTGTCATCTCTGTCCCGTAACAGCTCCTCCTCTGAGCTGCAGTTGACTCACCGACAGTCCCATTCACTTTAATGAGACAGCTGGTGATGCAGCAGTGACACAACAAGGTGAGGGACATGGCGGGCAGCAGGTAAGTGGATGCCCACTAACAGGCGCTGCCATGATGGATCTGAAATGATAATTGCTCTTTAAATACAAAGGACTCATTCTTGCTGATAGAATCTTTAATATTGCAGAACTTGGATTCTTTGAATGAGTTTACAAAAAATGTAAATATTGCACAATATACAGTCTCATTCTACGTAACTAAGCTCCATTTCATGCTGAATAAACTAAATTATTAATGTATCTTAAATAGAAAACTATCTTTAGATAGATTTTTACTCCAAAAATATTTTATTAAAATAAATTTGATAAAAATACAAAAAATCCAATTTAAAAATTTAAAAATCTGAATTTTTAAATATTTTTTAAAAAATCAATTTTTATCCACCCTGGGATCTCTGGAGCTTAGTCAGAGTGACCATCGGGTTCTTGGTCACCTCTGTTACTAAAGCCCTTCTCACCCGATTGCTCAGTTTGACCGGGCAACCAGCTCTCGGAAGAGTCCTGGTTGTGCCAAACTTCTTCTATTTAAGAATTATGGAGGCTACCATACTCTTAGAAGCCTTCAGTGCCACAGAAATTTTTAGCCTTTCCCAGTTCTGTGCTTTGCAATAATTCTGTCTCTGAGCTCTGCAGGCAGTTCCTTTGACCTCATAGCTTTTGTTCTGTTACAGTATGCATTGTCAGTTGTAAGACCTTCTATAGAGAGGTGTGTGCCTTTCCAAATCATGTCCAATCAATTAAATTTACCACAGGTCGACCCCAGTCAAGATATAGAAACATGTTGGCAACGATCAAGAGAAATGGGAGTCATGGGAGCTAAATTTCAAGTATTGTTGCAAAGGGTCTGAATACTTATGTCAATGTGATATTTCAGTTTTTTTCTTTTTAATAAATTTACAGACATTTCTAAAGTTCCATGTTCACTTTGTCATTATGGGGTACTGAATGTAGATTAATGAGAAAAAATGAATTTCAACAACTGTAGAATCAGGCTGCACGTAACAAAATTGACAAACGTGAAGGGGATCTGAATGCATTTCAAGAGTTCATGTTTCTCATTTGATCTAACGGGGGATGATGTGCTATTTGTAATGAAGTTTGGTTCACAGTTAATTGTATTGTGGCTATTAATTATTCCTTCATTTGAGAGCCAAAGATAAAATTAGCATTATAAGAAATATTCCAGGCAAATATTGCTAGCTTTCTTAATATTTTTATTTTCCTTATATTGGTATAAATGTGTTAATGAGGGTAAATCTGTGTAAATGTGGGTGCTAGTTTTCAAAAATAATCTGGACAAGAATATGACTGGAATCATTTATAAGGTTCCTTCCTTGAGCAGAGGATTGGACCTCTGAGGTCACTTCCAGCCCTATGATTCTATATTATGAGTTCCAAATTGCCTTTCTTTGCAGTTTTGAAACAGAAAGCAAGAATGGTGATGGCCAGTACATTTACAGACTGAGGATATGTCGGGAAGTCTTCAGCAATATGACCAATTCTGGTCTGGTGCAGATCAGCAAGATAGACAACAAACAAAAAGTAATAGGACGAATCAATGAGACCCATCTTGCAAATGGAAGTAAGACATAATTTTGAACAGATCTATTGCGCATTCTTATAATTATATTCATGCCTCATTGAATCTCTTATATTTCTGATTTGGCAGCTAGCTGGATTTTGCTGATCTATCAGGGTGGCGATCCCTATGGTAGCCATTGCACACAGGAAGACAGGAAAGCTTTAGTAATGATTATCTGCAACCGAACAACATTAGCAGTGAGTATAAGAGTGGGGCAGCAAAAATGAATTATGTTAAAGAAAACTAGCACATAACTCAGCCCTTACCATACTATTTGCATTATTAGTTCCATGCTACATAATATCAGAGCTTTGATTAGTAAGCAAAGGCTATGCATTTCACATAAAAATTACATATCAAAATGTTTGCATGTATTGTAAGATATGTGGTAATACTGAGAGCATTGAGTAAGAAAAAGGCACACCATGGAGACTATATTCAAATAATTTAGCCTTAGCCTAGGGCAGGAGTGTCAAACTCAATTTCATTGAGGACCACATCAGGGCTGTGGGTGACCTCGGGGGGCCAGGTGGACATGGCTGACTGGGTAGGTGTGGCCCACTGGGTGGCCGTGGCCAGCTTGACATTGCTCACTGGGTGTGGCACGAGGCCAGGCATTGAACTGAGAGGCCCAGAGAAGAGATGTGCTTGCGCAGGCCAGGTGAACAAGCTTGGAGGGGCTAGGCCAACAAGCTACAGCTGGCCAGTCTTACTGCCTGTTGTCAGGCAGACTGGCCAGCTGTTGCCAGACACAGTGGCCAGCTGCCTAGCCCCACCCAGCCTGTTCACCTGGCCGATGCAAGCACAGTCTCCAGTTCTTCGCTGGGCCTCTCAGCTCAGTGGCCAGGCTCACACGCTGTTTCCTCTTCACATTGGGTAGATTGGGCCGGTGCAATGCTGGCCCTCTGTTTCTGCCAGGATTGGGTAGACTGGGCTGAAGTGACGCAGGCCTGCCCCTCACATTTTCCAGGATGGCCCATGGGCCAGATCTGACCACATCATGGGCCAGATCTGACCTGGGGGCCTTGTGTTTGACACCCCTGGCCTAAGGAAATGGAATCTCCAGCCCTCTAGATAGTGCTGAACTACACCTCTTAGTAGTTTCAGTCAGCATGCTATGTATATGAATCAGGCCACAATAGGATTGTGAGAATTGTGGGGCACTCTGTTGCTGAATATCTCAAGAAGACGGGGGCAGCTGAACTTTGATTAGTGTGCCATTATACTCCTACCATCTCTAAACAGACTGGCTTCACCATGGTGGCAGAAGAGAGGGAGAAGATAAAGCAATGTTCCTATGTTTTTGAGTTAGAGAGCAGCTTGGCTTGTCCTCTGGAAGAATTGCATCACAATGTGCACCGTCACCTTAGTATTGGCTCTATACTGCTAATCACGTAAGTTGATTTGAAATAATTAATAGTTCTTTTCTGAGTTAAACAGCTTCCAAAAACTTACCATAATAATTTTAAGGGTGAAAAAGCATTCCAAATCAAATCATTTTAAAATAGCAACTTTGTATCATAAATTAAATAGAGATTTTAGTAATACCTGATTACTAAAGGCACATGTGAGATTTACATAAATGATCCTGGTTCATTAGGTTATTCCCATTCAAGAAACACTTGTAATTTAACTGAAATTAAAGCGCTTTGTGGACCATGGGCCAGATGTTCTGCAGGGTTCGAATACAATCAATGATGACAGTTGAGGGGTGTGTTGAGGGAGTTCTGGCATAGGGAAAAAGTCCAGGCCAGTGGCCATTTGGAATGGTGTGAATCCAGTACTGCTGTGTACTGAATTATCCTACGCAACCTAAGCAAAGGGTAAGAGTTCAGCCCAGATATTTTGCTGATAGTTCACATAACAGTGGAGGTATCGCTTATCGCTGGCAACATGCCATTTTTCCATTCATCCCCCTTCTTAATCCACACTTGGTAATACACCTCCCTTAAGTCCAATTAGTCCAAATTTCTCCTTGGCCAAGTGGCCCAGCAGAATGGGGAACACATTTTCAGCAGAATGGGGTACACATTTTCCACACAGATGGCATTAATCCCACTGTAGTCAATGCACAGTCTAAGAGAGCCATCTATTTTCTCTCGGAAAAACACAGGGGCAGCCATGCGGGACTTGGTTGACTGAATGAAGCCCCTGGCTAAATTCTTGTCGATGAATGACTGGAATTTTTCCATTTCCCAGGGCATCATCAAATTTAGGCTTTGGCATCTTAGCTCCCAGGACAATCTTGACTGCACAGTCTGGGGTGATGGGGTAGAAGTAGACTCCCTTTTACTGAACACTTTGGCCAAGTCCCAGTACTCTTTAGGAATTGATGGGTCTGGCTCCTCTCCCACCCAAGCTTTCCCTGCAACTTCTGCTTTTCTCATTTGTGGCTTGTGGTAGCTCCTTGTCACTTTCACCTCTGCTTCCAGGCTGGAAAGTTTTTCTGCACTTTCAACTGGTTCCATTTCCAATCTAGAGGGATTCCACTTCTTGATCTATGCAAGTTCTAGGATTATAGCCTTGATCATCCCTGGGGCCACAATTTACTGGATAGTCTCTGCATGGGTCCCTATCCTCAGCCACACTGTTTTGGTCAGAAACTCGGTGAGATGCAGCCATGACAATTGATTTTTATGGTCACCAAACCTAATCCTGTTCTTATCTGTGATTGACTTCTGGAACACAGTTCATCATACTTGTTGCATCATGAATATGGTAGAAGAAAGTACAAGTAGTTCTTGGGTTACAACACTCTGTGATCATTTACAGTGGCACTGAACAAATGCTCTTACAAGTCCTCAAAGTTGCAGTGTCTCCACTTACATATTTAATTTTGGATTCTTGGCAGCCAGCCCACATGTACAATTGTTGAAATTCAGTCACCTTCTCCTGACCTGAACAAACTGTCTGCTTGAACTCCCTGCACCTGCCTATCTCTCTCATCTCTGCCCTTTTGGCCATCTTTCATAGCAGGGCGAAGATGAAGATGCTGTTGTATTCCGCCACTGCCACCCCCTGCCTCTCCCAGCTGACTTTGTTGTCTTCTTTGCCTTGCCAGACCTACACAGATTGCTAAGGCAGAGGAGGCTGGAGAGGAAATGGCAGTGAGCAGGCATGTATTACTCCCAACTGGCAGTGGGCTGAGACTGTTGAAGTGGGACAGGCCCACTGGTGGTCAGGGAAGCAGAGGCAAGATGACAAAGTCAGCTGGAGGGACTGCAGAATACAGCAGCATCTTTATCTCCGCCATGCTGTACAGCAGTAGCCCCCAACCTTTTTGGCACTAGGGACTGGTTTCGTGGAAGACAATTTTTCCATGGACCAGGAGGGAGGAGAAGAAAGCATCTTAGATCCCTTGCACGCACAGTTTATAGTAGGGTCCTATGAAAATCTAATGCCCGATGACCTGAGATGGAGCTGATGTTTTGATGCTAGCTCTGGGGAGTGGCTGCAAATACAGATGAAGCTTAGCTTACTTGCCTGCCACTTAGCTTCAACTGTGCAGGCTGGTTCCTAACAGTCTGTGACCTGGGGGCTGCAAAAGGTACAGCCAAAAGGGCATAGATGGAGGGGAGAGGTAAATGAGTGGATGCTATGGCATGGTACAAGTGAAGGTAGATACTATGGCCTATGGGTTTCTTGAGAATAACGTCAATGCTGTCTTCCTCATTGACTGCTTGTAAGAAGACAGCAGAGAAGGTTGCAAATAATGATCAAGTGCAAGTTGTTTGCCAAGCACTAAAATTGTAATCACTGGATTGTAATTGTAATCAATTGTAATTGACTGGAGTGCTGTGACAGCTGCAACTTTAAGGACCAGGCATATGTCCCAATTATTCAGTGTTATCATAACTATCAGTGGTTGCTGAATGAGTAGTTAATTATAAATAACCTGAGGACAACCTGTAGTAGTAAATACCCTACAATAATTGACATTCAATGAAGAAATTGGTCTTATATGACTGAGATTTTTTGAATTGTTCTTATGCATTATTTTATATGCTTCTTCCCAAGTTTTTGTTATTTGAATTTCATTCATTTTCTTCCACAGTGGTTCACTAATTCCTCTTCTAGTTTTTTTATATTATATTATAGAGCTGTCAGCCCATGTCTTATTTATAGACACAACGATAAAGCATCAACTGTTCAATTCACATGCCAGCAAAAAATGTTGCAAACTAATACATCTAATTTTAACCTGGATCAAATATTTGTTTATTTAGATTTCATATTTCTTAATTGCCCATTTCCCTTAGGGGCTCTTTATATTATATAACTTTTTTATTTCTAATAATCTTAATCTTTAATGTCATTTGCATATTGTCATGGATTTGATTCCTATCCAATTCTTTATTCCATTGTCCAAAAAAAGGTATCCAGCTCTTGTTCTTCATTTGTCTTTTTTTTTTTTTTTTTGATTTTTAAAACTTCACCCATTTTCTTTTGTATTTTCAGTAAAGCATCCTTTTCCAAGGCATTCTCTTAGTCTTTTGGTACCATCTAAGTAAATTTTTGAAAAATTGAAAACATTAAAAAAGCTTCATAAGGAAGAAGTGATTGAAATAAATGTTAATGTAATTGCTCTGTCTAGTAAGTTGTTTGTTGAGCAACCAAGGTTTATTTAAATAGTTATTTTTAAAACAATCTAAATAATTTTACATTAATGAGAGCAGTGATCCCAATGTTTCCTCTTTATTTTAATATTTTTAAATATTATTTTATTTACTTTAATTTTTATATTTTTAAAAAATATTTTTAAAATTAAAATTATGCTTTTAGCCAAATTTTCTGTACTTTTCCATATGGATTGCCACTGTACCTATTTTTGTGACCCTCAGATGAGGAGCAGCATCTGGTTACATAGTGTTTTATGGGGAGTTTGTTTGTTACAAGCTTAAAGCAAAGTAGGTCTTCTAATTTTTGTCTATACCTATAGTTCAGAGAAAATCATAGATATTTCCCAGCTTTTCTATAGATCCTGACATTTGCCTACTGGATATACCCATTTTGTCCTGTTTGCTCTCAGCCTCTACCCAGAATATATTACTTGAATCTGCACCCAACAGAATACATGTGTATCTTTATGTATTTTATTTATCCAATTTATTGACTGCCCAACTTACCACAGGGTAACTATGGCTACAACCCACCTCAAGCTAACTCTCTTGGGCATAAAATACCCTTAATGATAATAGTGCTGCCATCATCCCTCTGTAGGGATGGAGAGCAACTACACATTATACTACATTTAGTAAGTAATAGGAGGACCATTAAAACTTAGATTCTCATTTGAACTATAATTTTGAATTACTTGATTTGGGTATAGAAGGATGATAGGAAGCTGTTGCTTCTTTAAATATATTCCTGTGTAGCAGTTATACTTTTAAAAAGGAACTTTTCCACTAGTAAACCTTTACAAAGTATGCTGAATTGGGGTATGAAAACAAGTGTGTTAAACAGATTTATCAGTTGGGCTTTTATTATCTGGGTACTACTGTAACAGTGTGTATGTATTTGTCACTCATATATGTGACATGAACTTTAGGATTCCTGCTTCAGCACAGCCTGATTAGCACAAGCAACTGATGGTTGGTTGGATCGCCCACCCGATGATCAACTGTTTCAGGCTGCAGGGATTGCCATAGCCTATTGCCGCCTCCACATGCCCCATTTTCGGCCTCCGGGTGCCCTGTTTTCAGCCTCCCGTGCCCCATTTTCTGCCCATTTTGATCCCCGCCACCCAGAATGGGGTGATAAGGGGCATGCGGCGGCTGAAAATGGGATGCGGAGGCTGAAAATCGGGGGGTGCGGAGACGGCAATAGGCTATAACAATCTCTGCAGCCTGAAACAGCTGTTTGTCGGGAGGCCAATCCAACTGACAATCAGCTGCTTGTGTTAATCAGGCTGTGCTGAAGCTGAAACAGGCTGTTTGCTGCAAGGAGGCAAATTGCTGGGAGGCAGAGGCAGATTTTTTTTCTTGTTTTCCTCCCCAAAAGCTAGGTGTGTCTTATACTTCAGAGTGTCTTATACTCCGAAAAATACAGTATTTTGTATGTGAATCTTTTGTTAGTATTTGTTTTCTCTTTCAGATTTTCCTCACTGATTGCAGTATACATTATTGGAGGATTCCTCTACCAGCGTCTGATAGTAGGAGCAAAGGGCATGGAACAGTTTCCCCATTTTGCTTTCTGGCAAGATCTTGGTAATCTAGTAGCTGTAAGTAGCTGTTATATGGATAGAGTGTCTGGAATTTCCACCAGTAAGATTGGAAAAGTATGACCTGGTGTGATTATACAGGTAGTCCTCAACTTATGATAATTGAGCCCAAGGTTTCTGTTAAGTGAGACATTTAAGTGAATTTTGCCCCAGTTTACGACCTTCCTTGCCACAGTTGTTAAGTGAATCACTGCAGTTGATAAGTCAGTAACCCAGTTGCTGAGTGAATGTAGCTTCCCCATTGATTTTGCTTGTCAGAAGGTTGCAAAAGATGACCCCATGATCTTGGGAAAAAGCAACAGTTATAAATATGAATCATTCTAATTATTTATTAGATTGAAACCCAGTTGTTGACTTAAGAAAAAAGAATCAGGATAGAAGGGTGTGTTATATTAATTCACACTCAGCATTTGAAGAATCTTAATTACGGATACATTTTATTGTACACTTTGATTCATTCAAATAAGTAAATATTAGCTTATTAAAAGAATAAGGTGAATGAAGAAAGGGCTCTTCTCCAGATGAGAGCAGGCATGGGAGGTGCTTCTGTCTCATCTGATAGGCTGAGCTGATTTCTGAGGACACTCCTCCTGAGGCTCCTCCTTAGTGTCCCCAGTTTTTGCTCAACCTTCATTCGAGAAGGGCATATTTCTCTTGGCTGGATTGTCTTAAAGCGAGTAGCAATAATAAAAAAGGTCAGATCGCAGCTTCTGGCTGCAAATAGAAGGTCGTGACTTTCAAAAGATTATATATAGCTACTGACGCCGTTTTTAACACCAGGTGGCCATCAGAGCTTTTAAGCCTACAGCGAGGGCCCCAATGGCGCTCTGAGCGCTCAAGCCAGCACCTGATCATTTTTCCTCAGGCCACCATTATAGCCGCAAGAAAGCAGCCGAAGCAATTAAAATCATCTGGCTGGCAGAGCTTCTAAAAGCTCCAAATCAGGCTTCGGGCGCTCCATGAGCTTGCGCCTCAAAAACATTCGAGCCGACCGAAAGGCAGAGAGATTGGAATCTTCCCTTACTTCTTGGCTGCTGTTTTGAACAGGCTGCCGTGCCTTTGTAAAGGGTGTTGTGGTGCGACGAGCGCAGGCTCATGTTTGCACCAAGATATTAAAATATCAGATGCCCAAGGCTTATTCCCCTCAAAGTGCACCTAAACTTCATGGGGGTTGGCATTAGCCCTTTTACCTCTACCCGGCACTGTTAAAAGACTTCCATTGATTTAATTCTTTAAGTTACTGAGCTCTTGTTGGGGGTGCTGATTGAACTATTGCGCGCCAAAAATAATGGCTGGTGCCATTTTGTTTGTATCTACAAACTGCAAATTGTATTTAGCAGATTTGAGTCCTTTTTTAAAAAAGCATCAGTGCCTTGCCTATTTAATTAGACTGTTAATCCCTAACAGGGCTGTTCCAGCACAGCTTTACAGGGCCTTCAGCAACAACTCACAAACCTTAAAGATTCACTGAAGGAGTTCAGTTGGCAAATCCCTCACATCCAGCTCCAGTCAGCAGAACAGCAGCTAGCACCCAGGCCTGTGACCGCCTGTGCATTAAAGCTGTTGCCGACCCAGTATTAATTAGGCTGTTGGATCCTACTCTGGGCAGTTAAGGTGTATTTATTTGACATTAATTCAAATTATTGGATATTAATTAATTAATAAAAAGGGGATTAAATCATTTACATTTGAGGGAGTCCCTGCCCGTTCTGGAGCAGGCCCCTAGGCGAGCCAACCGCCCTTAATTTAAGCCTCACATTTCTACAGCTCCTGTATCCAGGGGTTGCAGTGGAAAGTGGAAGCTCTATTGGCTCCATTGTTTCAGGCTCTAGAGTGGCAGCCAGAAAGGCCATGGCCAAAACCAAGAGCAAATCGGGCTCAAAAAAGCCTTCAAAGGCCGCTGAGAAAGATGCTAAGAGGCGTCAAAAGGCACTAGACAAACATCTGAAAAAGTGCCTTCGTGAGGCTGAAAAAATAAGCAAACATCGTCTCCTCCAAAAATCGCTCCTGTTCCAAGCTCCATCCCAGCTCCTCCTCTGGATCTGTCAATGCAATCCAGGTGTAGCAACATCTTGCCAAACCAAGCAAGCATTTCAACTGTAATACCTGCACCACGTAGGGCTCCTGAGGCTACATTCACCCACACGGCCACTGGTCTTCGAGCAGAGGAATCTCTTTTCCAAGAAATTCCTCCTCATATGAGACTGGATGGAGCAAACTATCAAACAAGGCATCGCAGGATGAGTACAGCAGACTTTCATGGCAAGACAACAGCAAACAGGTCCTGAGCATTACCTTCAATCTCCAAGGTCGCCAAGCAGAGCAGATCAACTCAACTTCAGGTACCTTCCCAGGGGGCAAATTTCCCAACACCTCATATGCCCGACCAGGGTACACAATGTGGGGAAGACCAAATAGATTAACTGGAACAAATTATGTCCTCTCAAGACAATGAATCATCATCACTGAGGCAGAGCAGCTAGAGAAGGACATGTCAGATGATGAGGGCTTAGCCCCAGATCAACCTATTTTTACGGGGCTATTCCGCCCACATCTATTTAAGTCTTTACTGTTCAAAGCTAAAAACACCGCATGCCTTGACAATCCAAACTCTACCTCCCAACCGCCTTCAGCGCAGGAGGAGTCGGATGACTTAATATTTTCACAACCTGTCACCGAAGTGGAGGTCATTCCAGTCCCACAAATGTTCACTGAATTAGTTCAGAAACTGGTCCTCTACTGCTGCGTATCCCAATCCAACTAGCCTACTAGCCCCCATCGTAATGAACCTGTAATAACTCTAGCCTCTCCTTCCGCTATAGCAATAGCACTTAGACTTATATACCGCTTTATAGTGCTTTACAGCCCTCTCAAAGTGGTTTACAGAGTTAGCATATTGCCCCCAACAATTTGGGTTCTCATTTTACCCACCTCGGAAGGATGGAACGCTGAGTCAACCTTGAGCCTGGTGGGATTCAATCTGCCAAATTGCAGTGGCAGTAGCTTGCAGTACTGCACTCTAACCACTGTGCCACCGAACCTATACCTAGTGAAGTGGAAGAAGCTCTCAAACCAGAGGACAAGAGAGCAGAATTAGCTCTTCACAGGGCTCATTTAGCAGACGCATGGGCTATCAGGATGGCTATAGCCACTTCATTCTTTACCAGATCTTTCCTAAGGTGGTTCCGTCACCTGAGAGATTCCATTCCTTCATCAAATACCAGGGCACATCAGGACATAGCGAAAGTGATGGCAGCTCCAGAATTCTCTGCAGATGCAACCTTTAATTCGGACAAAATTCTCATCAAGAGCCATAGCATCCCGAGTCACTGCACGAAGCCTACTCTGGCTCCGATGTTGGCAAGCGGACACCAAACATACATGGAAGCTGGCATCCGCTCCCTTTGAAGGGGACAAACTGTTTGGATCTGCCCTGGAGCCACTCCTGGTGGAATCTTGAAATAAGAAAAAAGAATCCTCCCCTCCCTTTTTCACAAGCCTGACAGTGGACCTTCCCAATCCTTTCGGAGGGGTTCCTTTCATCCCTTCTATCAAGGATCCTATTCCCAATCACAAAGGCCCTTTGGGTATAGACAAGGACAGCAGACAGAAAGATCTGTCTTTGGGGACAGAAATGGGGGGGGGGGACAGAACAAAAGGTCCTTTCGTGGGGCAGGAAACAAGTCCTTTTGTCGCCCAAAGTAAAATAATTCCGAACTCTTCCATAGGAGGCTGGTTAAGGCTATATGCAGATCAATGGGAATCCACTACATCAGATGCCTGGGTCAGAGAGACCATAAGATCAGGTCTCTCTCTTGAATTCCTCTCCACACCCTCGATTTTTTTATGATGTGCCCTGTTTCAAGGATCCTACCAAAAGGACTCTTATGGAAACAGCAATTCAACATTTGCTGGAGATCCACGCAATCCAACCCATGTTGCCAGATCAACAAGGGCAAGGATTTCATTCACATCTATTCGTTGGTCCCTAAAAGTTTAGGGGGTTGGAGACCAATTCTGGACTTAAAAGGCCTGAATCGCTTCCTGGAGATTTAAGATGAGCTCCTTGCTCCTTGCAATCCTTCTCAGTATCAGGGAAGGAGATGTCTTAACGTCAATAGACTTAACAGAGGCGTATTTATATATTCCTATCAGACCCATGCATAGCAGATTCCTGAGATTCTGTTATAATAAAAAAACACTTCAAGTATATAGCTCTTCCATTTGGCCTGGCCTCAGTCCCCCGGATCTTTACAAAGGTTCTGGCAGGCCATCTTAGGAGTAAGCCAGTTGGCTCCAATGCTATCTCAATGACACATTAATTTTGTCATCATCCAGCCAGCAGGCTGAACTCAGGTCACCCTACAGGTTCTCTAACAGCATGGATTTTCAATAAATTGGGCCAAGAGTCACTTGACACCATCGGCTTGCCTCCTGCACTTGGGAGCCATCATTGATACAATGGCTGGGAAGATATCCCTATCACCAGACAGGCAGAGTAGCATTAGACAGTTGTCAAAAGAGGTTAGAACTCTCAAATGAGTTCCCCTGGCCCAATTATCCAAACTATTAGGAAAAATGATCTCATGCATTTGTATTGTTCCCTGGGACAGTCCAACATCCAGGCAGACAGGGCCACTGTCGACCGCCTGCACCCAAATCTGTTCCAGGAGATCCAACATCTATTCAGCCAACCAATCATAGAACTCTTTACCTCGTCCCTCAACGCACAGCTCCCGAGGTTCATTTCCAGATTTCCAACACAAGGAGCAGAGGGAGTCAATGCTCTACGCTGTCGCTGGCCTCGAGACCTATATGCCTTCCCTCCCCTTCCACTGTTTCCCAAGGTGGTCCAGAAGCTTCTAGAGGAGAAAGCGGAACCATTGTTGGTGACACCATACTGGTCCGTGGTTTACAGATCTCAGGGATCTATCGACAACAGACCCATGGAGAATCCCGCCGGACAGAGTCTCGTTCACACAGGGTCCAATTCAACATCC